GAACGTTAAGAGATAGAAAAAAAAAATTTCAGACAAAGTTGCTAGCAATTAACTTAGCTACAAACTTTTTTAAACAACACAACACGGAACACGGAATTTTTCATAATTGTATGTTATTGGCAATCATTCAGATTTTTGCTAAAATTCGGCCTAAAACCTTGCCTTTTTCAAAATGGATGTATTCAAATATTGCGTTGGAATTTTGGAAGCTTAAAAATTTACAAAAATCGTACAACAACAGCTTTTGGTTAAATTTCTTAACTTTTTTGTAATTTATGCATAAATTGCTTTCCGCGCAAAAAAAAAAAACGTACGAACAAAAAGTTTATAAATTTATCTGTAAATCTGTTACAGCTGTTAAAACTGTTATTTTAAATGTTTGTATTTATGAAGTGCCCAAAGTTTTCAATATTCTAAAAGTTTGAACAACGAAATTTTCTGAAATGTGATTTTTTATCATATGTTTGGATTTTTCCACCAACATTTATAAAATTATTTTTTTTCTTTCGAAGTCTTTATTCAACATTACAACTTTGTCTCACATGTCATTTATATTAGAAGTGAGGTTAATGAACTTCGAATTCCAAGCTAATTTTTTTTTGAAAAATTTGTTGGAGTCTATTTTTAAAAATTTTCAAGAAGCGAAATGGCCAAATTTTTGAAAAATATGAATCAGGCCGGAACAAATATCAAGTTTTTCTTTTGTCACCCCCCCCCCTTCAAAATTTTGGAATATCACCAAGGGGGAAATAAAATGAAACTTTCAGTGTATATTTATTTTTCGCAAATTCATTTGGGTATGGATACTCGCTTTGCTAGATTGTTGTTGTTGTTGTATCACCTTGTTCTTTTAAAGAATTTTCACATAAATTGGTACTTGACCAGTACGGCATGACAGGTCCTTGAAATCGGATCAGCTGGTTTCAGTTGTTGAAAGCGGATTTTATCGAACATCATTCCTAACCTTGTTTGGCAACTCACTAGGTAAGCCACCTTCAATCTGATCGATCCCTCTTGTTCGTTGCGCACATCTTTGTCTTGTCCCAGTCGGATCACACATTTTCAGTGTTTCGTTATCCGACATTATTACGATGTGCCCAGCCCACCGTAGTCGCCAGATTTTTGCATTCGATCTACATTTCTTAACTTACAAACCTTCTGCAATGATACTTAATGATTCACTTCTTTTCTACAGTGATTCAACAATTTCCGAGCTAAATCCAATCTTTTCAAAATTGGTTTAACATTTTTAGAAGTGGAACCAAATCAGAAACGATTCAGGAAATTCCTAACTGAGGTGACACTTTTCAAAGCAGATTCAAAACTGAGTCTGAACTTTTTTGAAGTGTGTTCAAACTTTCGAATAAGTCATCAATATTTTTCTAACTGAGTCTAAACTTTTCTGTTATGTTATTCAATCCTTTTTAAAGTTGTCAAAACTTTCCTGAAGTGATTCAACATATTCCAAATCCAATCTTGAATGAATTGGTTTCGCATTTTCTGAAGTGAGGCAACATTAGCTGATTAATCCTTTTCCTAAATGAATCCAAGGTTTCCTGCATTGATTCAACTTTTAGCGATCTGAAACCAAACTAGTCAGAACGGGTTTGATATTTTCCTAAGTGAGCTCCAGATTTTTGCTAACTGCTTTTGCGTTTGGCAAGGACACAATCTTGCAATCTTTTCCGAAGTGAACCGACAATTTTTTGAGCTTAAATTTTCCAAATGGTGGCTAACCTTTTCTGAAGTGGTTCAAAACCTTCCTTAGGGAGTCCAAAATGTTCTGTTGAGTGATTGAATTATATTGAATGTTAGTCTGAGATTTCCTGAAGTGATGTAACTAGCTTTTAACGTAGATTCCGCTTTCTTAGATCCTTTCCTTGTTTTTGTGAGATTCACATCCTTTGAAAATTAGGCTGAAATTTAAAAAAATGGACCTTCGTGTAGATTTTTAGACCTGATGGTAGATTTTTTTTTTAAAGCTAGCACAATTGTTGAGAAAACTTGGTTTACATCCACAAAAGTACGTATTTTTATAGAAATTTGGGTTTCTTGATCAGCCACGTTGGATTTTGGCTCCGTCCTTTGAAAAACAAGCTTGGATGTTATGGAATAGATCTTTGTGAGTTCATACGTGATGGTAGATTTTTTTAAAGCTAGGTTGGATTTCGGTTCAATCTTTTGAAATTTGTGCTTGGATTTTATAGAATGGAACTTGCTGAATACCGGAAGGACGAACCTGGTTAATATTCACAAAAGAAAGTATTTTATAGAAAATTAATTTTTCTGTTTTCCGAACTCAATTTTGGCTTCTTTCTTTGAAAAATATGCTTGTATTTTAAAAGAAGTTGCTGAATCCATACGTGAGGGTTGAATTTCTCCAATTTTTGAGAATACCGAGTTTAAGTTCACAAAAGTACGTATTTTCATAAAAACTTTGTTTTTCAGTTCTGCCAAGTTGAATTTCCTCTCCCATATTTGAAAATAGACTTGAATTTTATAGAATGGACTTTGCTGAATCCATACGTGATGGTAAATTTTTTGAAACATGCACACTTTTTTACATAACTGGGTTTGAATTCTCAAAAGTACGTATTTTTATAGAAATTTGGGTTTCTTGTGCAGCCAAGTTGAATTTCGGCTCCTTCCTTTGAAAAATAGGAATGGATTTTACCGAATTGCTGAATTCATCCGTATTTTCATAGAAATTTGGTTTTTCGATTCTGCCAAATTGCATTTTGGCTCATATCTTTTAAAAATAGGCTTGTATTTTTTAGAATGGACCTTGCTGAATCCATACGTGAAGCTTGAACCGGGTTTGTAATTCGAAACGGTTTTTTTTTTGTTTTCCTTTTCTGCTAAGTTGGATTTTGATACTGTCCTTTGAAAGTTATGCTTAGATTTTACGGTTTAGCGACTTTGCAGTCAATTTAATTGTTTATAGGAAAGTTTGAACATACTGAGAGGTAAGCACATATCATCGGTAAGAGACATGTGTGAGAGAAAATTTGCGAAAAAATCTAAGGGCACCGGTGGGATTCGAACCCACAATTCCCATTCAGTACACGGGTGCATTGCCAATTATACAACGGTGGACCTATGGTCTACGGATGTATTTGGCTAATGACATTTGAGTTTCGAATCCGTTCCCCACCCTAGTCTTTTTGCGCAAGCGTTCTCTGATACACAACAATCGTCTATTATCGACGATATGTGCTTGTACCGCAACCACTCAGTATCAGTCAATGTGAACAAACACAGCTCATTTTTGTTGTTCATCTTACATGCTGAAATATGTCCAGTACAGTATGACTCTAACATTTTGAGCTGCCGGCCTCACCTCCGACCACTGGGCCGTAGTTGATGAATATCAATTACTTTTACTTTTTGATTTTACGGTTTAGCGACTTTGCAGTCAATTTAATTGTTTATAGGAAAGTTTGAACATACTGAGAGGTATGCTTAGATTTTATAGAACTTACCTTGCTGAATTCATATGTGATGATTATTTTTTTAAGCACACCCAAAGCCAGGTTTAAATTGATAAAACTACGTATTTTTGTTAAAATTTGGTTTTTATGTTCAGCCAAGATGGATTTTGACTTCTTTCATTGAATATTACGCTTGGATTTTGTTGAATAGACCTTCCTGAATCCATACGTCTAGTTAGATTTTTTGAAGCACGAACAATTGTTGAGAAGACTGAGTTATATTTGGATAGGGAAGAAGTATCGAAAACAGAACGTTTTTTTTTCATAAGAACTGTTACGTTTGTGGTATTCCGCTTGATGGTTTATCCGGAATTTATCAATACCCAAAAATCAATTGCTTTGATCCTATTCATCTACATTATTACCAATGTTCTTCCTTGAACTCGAGTGTTACACATAATAAAGTCAACATTTGTGGCATTAGTGTCAAAAATCACGGCTTCAAAGAAGTATAAGGCTAAAGCGGAGGCTAAGAAAAAATGTTAGCGTTTTAAATATACGGTTAAGATATAATGGAAAACGAATTTTAAATGTTTTTTTTTTTGTTTATTTTTTATCTCCCCCCTCCTCTCGACTGGTGCGAGCATCGAGTGACAAAAGAAAAATTTGTGATTTGTTCCGGCCTTATTGCCCATAACAAACAATTACGAAAAAATTCATATAAATCGTAGAAGTTCGATTGAAAAATTCTTTTTCGCTATTTTACCTGGAACTGCTCGGTTTCAGCATAAAGATATTGTAAAGCACCGAAATCAAGTACTATGCCAACAGTTCAAGATACTTTTCAAATGTAATTATCAAAATAGTTCGTATATTTTTGGTATGGTCATATTGTATCATCCATGATCATCATACTTATTCATTAAGTTGCAAGTGGATGTAAAATTAAATTTGGAATTAAATGCCCTGATTAACGGTCTGGCATTAGTTGCACTACGGTACGGTGTCATATATTCGAGATTGAATGTACCAGAGGTCCATTGGAATTATTCTCTCAGTGGCAGCGACACACATACTATATGTAGTTATAGTTAAAATATGCATTTGCCTTCCTCTACCACATCTAGTAAGCAATAATGATTTCATTCCGAAAATTCATCTTTCATGCAACATGAACAATTCGTTGTAGAGTTGAACACACAACGTTTTATCTTTCGGTATTCATTCATTAAATCGAAAAATTCATTCTTCACTGGTTTCCTACGGTGTTATCACCCGGTGAGAGTGGTACTTCTTCGGAACAAGCATAACACCATTCATTTGGTTGCTGTATTATGGTTCATGCTCTCATGTTCCCCCATTCTCGAATCATGAACATAACCGGGCAGTTTTGGAGAGAGCGCGCACATAACCCACCACACTTCGATCGGCAGCCTACGATGATGACTGGCGAGAAAAAGGATGGAGATCCGAAAGATGCGCGACGATGCTTCGCGAAGTTGAAAACGAACATCGCGAAGTTGAATGCAAGCTGGAAGCAACGGGGCCACTCAGTACGTTCGTGATCTTTGAAACGCCGAGACGCGACCCGTCGTGTGTTTTTTGATGATTTCGGAAGCGTAGGCTTGGAACGGATACCTTTTTTTGCTTCGTCTCTCGCGTATGTGTGTCGTGCGGGGTGGAAAATCTTTACTGATCCCAGTTGGTGGTACTGAGGGACATCCAAAATTTTCGTGAGTGGACGGTTATTATAGGGTCCTATTCCGAGGGGTGGTCCCATACCGTTGAACATGGATAAGCCGGGAAAATGGCTTCCGTGAGAAGTTATAAGAAGCGAAAATAGTAATAATTTATAGCCGTTTGGGCGATTAAGGACACCGCGCTGAGCCGAGGCGGATGAAGTGTTTTTTGTCCTACCCCTTCCTCAGGATCATGTGTGTGCTACATGCGGTGTTGGATGACTAGAATGATGATTATGCTTGCTGCGGTTGAAAGCAAAGCTGATGATGACAATGATAATGATTATGACGGCTGTCTGAGTGTGTCAGAGAATATACGTTGGGGTATTGATATCGCCTCCGAGGACGACCAGGACCAGCACATCGTCGTTCCGTGGATGCCGGAAGTGAGAGCCGGAAGTGACAGAGAAAAGTGAGGTGATATTAGGAATGAAAATTGCTACGTTCAATCGTGTTTATGTAATCGATGGTGAAGAGAGCGTGTGTGATCGGAGTGTAAAGTGCTTCCCGATTACTCAATAATTTTTATCGTGATTATCATGAGTGTGGAAAAAGAATGCAAAAATTGCTGATGAATGGTAAAATACCGCCAGGCAACCGATTTCACCAGTGATTATAGTATGGTACGGGTGGCGATGAAAAGTGATTCTAAGTGATCGTCGGAGCATCGTGAGGTCGTTTGCTTACGTCGTTGACGACAAGTCCAGCGACATGACAAGAGCCCGACAAAAGTGTTTATTTTAATCCAGAGTGCTGGCGTTCGGTGGGTGTTATCCTTTAATTGAGTACTCAAGTGAGTTCATTTAAAATTCATGGAATAAATTATGCGATATTTTCGCTTTTATGAAAAACCGCGGTTTATCGTCATTTGAGCGGGTGTTGGTTGCTCTTTACTAGCGACGGTATCGCTGTTGTAGGACGATGGCGTTATAACAGATGAAAATTGGTGCAAAAACTTGTCAGCTGCCACTTGTACTGCTATTGCTGCAAATGATGCTGTTGGTTTGAGAAGATCAGGCGCAGAACATTAAATCATCACCATCGAATCGGTTGTTTAATCCTTTCAAGGAATCAACTTATGTATCAAATGCCAAATGGCATCGTGGTATACTTAATGGATTGATTTCACCTGATGGCAGTGTAAATAACTCAACATCAAAGGACGTGGTTATCATCATTGTCGGTGTGTTCGAGTGAATAAGTTTTTGTGTAACGGAATGTTTAACTAATTAGTGTTAATGAAACTACATGTTTGACTCTTACGTATTTCTCGTGAAGGTAAACGTATATTTTGAGCAGAACTTTATGACACATTCCAACACAATGAACGTCACAATATAATTTACGTGATTAGTTATATTGTTCCAATTGACTGATAACTTAAGAGGGTTAGGATGCGTGACTTCTGAAAACTGTGTTTGTGTGGCATGCTAAGTATGTAACTGAATTAGTAACGGTGATGCACAAGAACTGGTATGATAATTTGATAATTTTCTAAGAGTGTGTACGACTTTCAATCGGTGTCAAATCAGCCAGTTTTAAAATAATTTATTATAGTGTGATAATCTGGCTAATGTCGTTCTCTGGATCAGTGTTGTAAATCTTTAACATTCGATAATGTCTGCAATGCAAATTTACCATTGCAGACGTTAACGCTGACGTATCGATGGTTATTGATAACAACCTTGTTCTGGATGATGTTGTAAAGTTGTTTTTCTACTCGGGAATTCAGTATATTACTCAATATGAAATTTGTGTTAATTTTTTTTCCTTGATTTTGTTTTCCGCGCTGAGCACCAATGCTACCGACGCCAGGGAAGCAGCTTCCACACCTGGACCCTACCTATCGACCCATCAACTCATGAACCGGGAACCAACGGCTTTACTTCCCCTCCGAAGGAAGGTATGATCAGACATGTTATGCCTCAGAACATCCCGGCGGCGCCGACTGGGATTGAACCCAGGCCTGCTGGGGTGAGAGGCAATCACGCTTACCACTACATCATCAATACCACATCAACGTTTATTACGTTAAGAACGTATTTTAGCAATAAATTTCGGGATGACATCTTAATGCTATAAATACATACATTCATTCCAGTGATATGGGTCAGTGAGTTCTGCGTGTTAATACAATGGAAGTGGTCCATAATTGTGGGTAAAGGATCCTTCCCGTGAAATCTCAAATCCCGGGATTTTTTACCCGAGCCCCGGGATTTCATGAAAATTGAGTTTCAGTAATTTGTAAATGGTGCCCATGGTATCATTTAAAATTAATTTAAAGAAAATTTAGTCATTTCCAAATGTTAGCAGTTGATTCATGCATTATCATCTTCTTCTTTTTGGTGTTATGCATTCATACCGCACTCTATGCCTGCTTTCAACATAAACAGCACTAGTCGGCCCTGCCGGGATTTTCTGAGGCATAAAATCTCTGATACGCCCTCCTTCGGAAGGGAAGTAAAGCCGTTGGTCACCGGTTCATGAGTTGATGGGTCGATAGGTAGGGTCCAGGTTTGAAAGCAGCCTTCCTGGCGTCGGTAGCATTGGTACTCAGTACGGGAACAAGATCGATGGAGAACAAATCGAAGAAAAAAAAATGTAAACAGCGATTAAATTTAAAGCTTTCTGTACATAGTAATGAATGCACACATTTTTGAATTGTGAGACATTCGCAAGTCACCACCAAGCCCATTAATAGCCCTCTAATCGCCATTTTTGAAATATATGATTGTTATTTGGCTTAACAACTTTAAATCAGCCGAATATCAGTTTACACTATTTTGTTTTTTATTATTTCTGCTTGAAGTTAACGATTTACATAGTTGAAGATGCTAAGCGTCAGATAACAGACTTAAAGTGGTCATTTTATACGATAGATGAGGAGATGAAAGTATAGAGTTGATAGTTCCGTTAAAGTACACGGCAGTATGAAAATTGTAGAGAGTAGAAAGCGAGCAAGGACAGCTTTGAGGAAGGTACGAATCAGGCTGATCATCTCTCTTTACTAAACTCCTCAGTTGGAGAGGGATGGGGTACTATAAGTAAACCACTACTTGACGAGACAACGCGACATAAAAAATAACTTTTTTTTTGCTGTGGTTCGGTATAGAGGCTTTCGCAGTTTTGTATAATGGATTACTGTATACAGTCAATTTTGATCTCACAACTATTGACAGCATGGTGAAGGTTTTATACGTGGAAAAAAGTTATTCATAAAAATCATGTATGAAGCAGTGTATTTTTTTATTATTTACCGTCACACGCAAGGAGTAGCGCTTCAAATCAGTGTTGATAATTTGGGTTTGTTTTGAAAATGTACGCGTTTGTTGATATTTACCAGTGCTTGATTATTCAACCCAAAATCAACAAAATAAGAAACGATCCTCAAAAGCAAAATAATCCATTTCATTTATGACAAAATTATTACTTTGAATATTTTGTTGACCCCACAGCCGAAAACCTCGACATTACCATGAATTCAGCAAGAAACAATAATTTACCATCGATCTGTGTGTAAAAAACAACACGACACGTAATTAAGCGCTATATTAGTGTAAAATGAAAATAATCATTTTCATTTGATCCTCAAAATCATCCCTACCAATATGAAGACGAATATTAATATTGACAATAACACAGGCGATAATAGGGAGCTGCACCATCGGGTTAATCTCATTTTGTTTGCCTCTAGCGGTGGGTTGTTTACATGGACTTAGAAAAAAAAAAAATTTTTATTAAATGTTTTTTTTTTTTTTAAAGAGAGGAAGATTATTAAAAAGAACATAGCAGAAAAGCTTTTTTGGTCCTTTTTATTCAAAAACTCAAATCCACTTGATTCGACTAACAGTCAAAAGTAAACAAACCACTACTGGATGTCAAACTGATGAATGCGGGTTCATCGTGCTCATTGGTGACGGCAGCGTGCAGCATCCTACACTGTAACTGGAAAGTACTCAGTAATTGGTACAATTTCACCCATTTTGATGTAAAGTAGGTTAGCACAGAGCTATGGAAAATCATGGACGGAGGATGGTGTGCAATACTGCGTAAGGGTTTCGGGCGAACTATCCAGTTCATTCAAATCTCGCCGGGGACTGCGACAAGGTGAGGACTCTCATGCCTACTCTTCAACATCGCTCTAGAAGGTGTAATGCGACGAGCCGGGCTCAACAGCCGGGATACGATTTTCACGAAATCCAGTCAATTTGTGTGCTTTGCGGACGACATGGACATTATCGCAAGAACATTTGGAACGGTGGCAGAACTATACACCCACCTGAAACACGAAGCAGCAAAGGTCGGACTTGTGGTGAGTGCGTCAAAAACAAAGTACATGCTAGTAGGCGGAACCGAACATGACAGGATTCGTCTAGGAAGTAATGTCACGATAGACGGGGATACTTTCGAGGTAGTGGAGGAATTCGTTTACCTTGGATCCTTACTGACAGCTGACAACAATGTGAGTCGTGAAATATGAAGGCGCATCATCAGTGGAAGCCGTGCCTACTACGGGCTCCAGAAAAAACTACGGTTTAAAAAGTTTCACCCCCTCTCCAAATGTACCATGTAACGCTTATAAGACCGGTGGTCCTCTATGGACACGAGACATGGACTATGCTCGAGGATGACCTGCAAGCACTCGGAGTTTTCGAGCGACGTGTGCTAAGGACGATCTTCGGCGGTGTGCAGGAGAACGGTGAGTGGCGGCGAAGAATGAATCACGAGCTCGCTGCACTCTACGGCGAACCAAGCATCCAGAAGGTGGCCCAAAGCGGGAAGGATGCTGTGGGCAGGGCATGTTGCAAGAATGCCGGACAACAACCCTGCAAAGTTGGTGTTCGCTACTGATCCGATTGGCACAAGAAGACGTGGAGCGCAGAGAGCACGATGGGTGGACCAGGTATAGCGTGATCTAGCGTGCATTGGGCATGGCCGAGGATGGAGAGCGGCAGCTGCAAACCGAGTATTGTGGTGTACTATTGTTGATTATGCCTTATCTTAAATGTGATGTTGTACAAATAAATGTATGTAGTTAATATTACTCATTAATGGGTATTTTTTAGTTTTAATGGGTTGACCTACATTACTTCAAAATGGGTGAAATTGTACTTATTAATGGGTACTATAATATTAGAGTGTAGGAACATCTAACAACGAATAAAGAAAATCAAATGTTGACCCCACGGTTGCCTTGATAAAGAGCAAGTTGTAATTGAAGTTTTCCTTTATTTAACGTCGGTCCCTGTTCCACAATCTAGAGCCAATTACCGACAGACATTGATTGCCATCCATTGACGGCAATCGAATGTGCAGGAAGGCAGCTTCCACACCTGCGTAGGATTGCATGTTGTAATGTCAAAATTCAAATTCATGCAGGTAGTTAGTCTATCTGTTAAGGTTGTCATTATTTTCAGCTAAGTTGAGTGTAAAATAAATGACTTTTTATTAGCGCTGGTAAGAAGATTTCAACATTTATGCAAAAATATCGATGATCACGACGAACCAATAATTTTATTCATGCCGGTATCTTGAAGATGTTTCTTCAGGCAACTTAGACCAGTGGTGAGTCATAGAAGAGACACTTTAACGGTAAATCGCTTTGAATTGTGCCGTTTTTAGACCGGTTTCTGCGGTTTTGTGGATGGGTTTTTGTGAAGACACTGAAGACTGACTAAACGTGATGGAATGTTCGCAGAACTTGCGGGTTTTGGACCTCGCAGGGAAAACACGATCTTTAGCGAGAGGAAAACTGCGGCGATTTTCGCAGTTCGAACTGTTTATTGCTTCTAT